CGTTCGAAAATATGTTATGCCAGAAGAAGTGCAACCTGACACCATCGAGTCACATTTGTCCGATAAAGGAGTGTTGACAATTTCTGCAAGCAAAACAATTGCCGGCTTACCTGCAGCACGCACCATACCTATTCAAGCATCCCCAAAAGGACCGGAAACAGGTGAAAAACCGACACCGGATGGCACAGAACAGTCAAAGTGAAAGTTTTGCCTATGTTCCATCTACATAGTACTCTTTATTTATTTATTTTTTCTGTGCATGTTACAAAGAGAAAATGTTTCATTAATTAAAATTGAAGGTGTATTCGCTCCCCCGTCTTTATGAACAACAATAACTCTTAGCATTCGCTGTAATCCTTATCGTTCCTTGTCATTTATAATTCTGCCAGTTCGTCTTGGGCGATAAATCCCTTATTTAGATCAACCTGAATTTTATACATCTTCAGTTTTTCAGTCTTGAATTTGTGAATAATGGGTAACATTTAATTCTCATGTAAGTTATTTTTACCGGATGCCTTCTTGAATTGTTCATTTTATTTTATTACAAGAGCAGTTAACCTTTTTTCCGAAATGCTTTGTATTTATCCGTTTTGTCGTTCTTTGCTGTGTTATCAATTGAATTAATAGTTATTTATTCTTATCAGTATTATTGATATCTTATTAAATAAGTAAAATATATTTCCGATATTTTTTATTTCTTTATCAGTGTGCTGCAATATTTGCATTATTATGGATTATTCGTGGAAATAATTAGAGTGACAGGTAAGTTAATTTTATATTGATGATATACTTTGGTCTATACCTTTCATACCTATGACTTTTTTTTTGGTCCAGCAAAATAATCTGTCCCGTTATATTTCCAAGCCGATATAATTTCTTCATTAAAATGATTGTCCATCAATGTCATCATCATTTGACTTAACGAAAGAATTGAAAAGGGCTCTACCAATACTTAGTGCAAACGCACTGATGGCTGGTAAAGCTAATACCGGATAAACAAGTCCGGTTGCAAAAGAGACAGCTGAGAATTTCTTTTGGCGGTACTGGTAAGCATGGTTCATCCTGTTTTTCTTTTTTCCTCAAAGATTGATCCTACATGCGTTCCCAAAAGGGAATAAAGGTTAAAGTGGACCAGGACCACTGATATCAGTCTTGTACAGGATAATAATGGATATGATGAGTCACAGAGATTTGATGGTAGTTCGTCTTGAATCCAACAACTCATAAGAAGTTCATGGAATTTGGCATGGGGTACTTAACTTCCAGGCTTTGGATGGCTTAAGAGTCTCTCTTACTATGTCCAATTTAGTTTCATCAGTGTCGTGTAATGTGCTGAGTTGTTGAACTTTGAACTATATAGTTGGCACTAAAGAGAGTCTGAAAGTGTTCAAACCATCAATTCAGGATGGAGGTTTTATCGAAAAAAGTATTTGACCATCTGCGCTAATGACCTGATGTATGGTCCATGCATTTAATTGAGCCTTTTCTGATAGGTTGGTTCACAAACTAGATTTGAGGATTATCTCACAGATCTCTTACCTGAAATACTTCGGCAACAAATGTGTTTTGGATGTGTCAAAGATTCTGTTGAAGCATGCAAGATGAAAGGCTGCTTACCTCACATGGGGAAGATAGCTAAGCAAGATGCTGATAAGTAGTTCTCATCTTTTCAATAATTACTGGATCTCTTGATTGCTTTCATCAAATGTCTGTCTATTTTTCTCGGAGGAGAACTCATCAGAGGGATGCAGGAGGCCATTTTTAAGTGCTTCAGGAAAGGGATCTATGGGATACTCCTCAGAAGATGTATCTGGAAGCTGTTCTTCATTGTAGCTTTTCCAAAGGATTTCGTTAACTTTGAGTCTTCTCCTTAGAATGTCACCCCTTTCAAGTTCAGGCTTAAAATGAAGGTTAAATTTGCATTGCACAAGGCAGCGGTCTCTTTGACATTCTGCATTAGACAGCAAGCACTGCAGTAGACGGAACATTTCTCTGACGCACTAAGACATAATCAATGAGGTGCCACTGCTTGGGTAAAGGAAGCATTCAGGTTGTTTTTAGTATGTTTTCCAGATATCAGAATTCTTTCCTACTCTGGCGTTGAAACCACCAAGGACTGTGTGATCTTATCATCTGCAGGAAGCTTTTAATTTGACAAATTTTAATTTGTCTTTTTCCATAGGGTCAGCTTGATTAGTTGGGACATACATACTGAAGAGAGAAGTATGTTGCATGTTTATGCAATGGGAAGCGTAGAGAGATAATGCGATCGGGATGACCTGTCAGCAGATTTTCAAGTTTGAAGGTGTTAATTACGAAGCTAGCTCCTGAAAAGTGATTTTCGGTTTCGCTGCTTGATTGCTCACGATGTTACCGAACAAGAGTGTCATCTCCAGGGTCAATCTCGAGCGACTAATATTTTAAATTGCCTGCCGTCACTATCTTATCACACTTAGCACTTATCTTGTCATCTCTAGCGTTTCGTCCCTTGTCTGTTGCTACAAGGCTTTGCAAATTGGTATATATCCTTCGAATCTACACAGTGGCTTTTTTAAATAAGGTTTAGCGTGCGCGAAATTGGCCTCACTTTTTACTGGTGAGATTCAGTGAGGTTCAACTTAGGTTTAATTAGAGTATCCTTCTCTGAGATGGATGACCATACAAGGCTAAACATCTCCATCTGCTCGGGTTTGGGATCAGAGTTGTCCTTCTCCTAGGATGACTGCCCGAAAATTAACGTGCAAATCCTACTGGCGAACACATTTTATCTGACCCTTTAGCTCAGACCTGTTTGGCATGACAGACCCTTTGGAGGCATATGCCACAATCAGTGCAGCTCACAATTTAACAAGGGAACGCAAGCTCCTCCCCATGACAGATGGTGACAGTGCTGAAGGCCTTTTAATGTATTTTTATGGTAAACAAATATTTAGAAACTGTTTCCAGTTATCATCCCTCAATGTAATGGTCAGTAATCAAGCAAGCTGAAGCATCGATCTTCTGTGATGAGTTCATCACCAATAAAAGTTCCGAGGTGACACTTCAGAGTGATAAACATAAAGTAACCATTGTCAGGTATATGCTTTGGGTGCCAAAACTTAACTTCAGTTGTGACAAAATCTGTTTGTTATAAATTTATAAGGTTTAAATGCCATATTTTGATTCCCCAAAATATGCGATATCGAATGATCCTAAAAATCGATTGATCCATTGATCCAATGACTTTTTCCCGCATCATCTCGTATCATAAGATCAAATGATAATTACTTATCCTCTTCCCTATTGTCATTATCATGAAGTACAAACAAACTTTGATTAATAAAATTCCTTAAACACTGATCTATTTATTCATTTAAAGTATGGGCAAATCTAATTTTTGATTTTTATCGATCTTTTTTTTTCCTGCAAAGTTTTTTTCTTTTTTTTTTTTTTTTTTTGGATAGCTAAGCAAGTTTTGGAAGAAAGAAAAAGAAAAGGAAAAGAAAGGAACTTTCGGGTAATTTAACCAATTCCGTAAAGTTTTTAACCATAATGTACGGGTAAATCAATATATATACATATGTATGTATATAGCATAACATGTGGGTATAATGGATTAATCGTCTTAGCGGGTGGTTTATGACTTTTTCAAAAAAGAAAAAACGAAACAAAGGAAAGGAAAGGAAGGAATTAATGGGATGAGTAATAGTAAAAATAAAAATAATACCACAATTTTCGGATTATTTCAAGTTTGTTTACGATAATTTTCCTTCCCTATTTTTTTTCCCACTTTAATTATTCATTTTTTACTAAATTTTTGAAGCTTACCTTTCGAAGTATTGGAATTAAAAAGAGTGTTTACGAAATTCTCATTATTAAAATAACGTTATTTTTGGTAAATATATAAGAAATTAATTAACGAATTTCAATGGTTATAGTTATGGGACAGTTTGATAAGACTGAAATTGGGGATTGAAAAACAGCTAAAACTAGTTAGACTTATCTTTCAAATTACTGAAATCCTGAAATTAGGTGGACCAAATGAGTGAGATAAATATATATTTGTACAATAACATTTCAATTATATAATCCAAATGATTAAAGTGAAGTTTTCATAGTTATCATAATCGATCCTTTCCTCGAAGATATATGCTAATAAGAATTGCTATAGATGGTATACTATATCCCTGTTACTGTATACTAAGCTGAAATTGTCTTATTATTGTTACAGTTGTGGTTTACACATTACAACGACGTTTGCGCCAGATGTCGGCTAATCCCATTCCTTAATTCTTACCTCTTCACTCTTATCTTTTTATAGTCTTTCCCGAATATCCATGTCTATCTTCATAAATTAATAGTTACTGCATTTCATCTCTCTTCAATATCAGAATCTTTTGTTCTATCCGGCAAATATTTCTTCATTGTTTATCATTTTTAATCCCTTCATCACATAGTTATATATATCTAATTATTATGTATATTAAGATTTCAAATATTAAATTAATTCTATTACTGATAACACGATATTATTGGTACTGATAATATGATATCATTGTTGTCTATTGCTTTGATTCTTTTATGTTGAATTGCTTACATTCAATAAATAAGTTTATTTTGCAATGAGAAGAAAGAAAAAAAAATTTTAATAATAGAAATAGAGGAAAAAAAATTGAAAATTCTTTACTTCATATTCATCTAATATATATATATAACTATTATGTATTAGATGACTATGGAATATCCCGGGAGAATTACCAGAAATTTTTAATATTTCCTTAAAATCAATGAGTATATCAACAACTCTCTTCAATGCAAAAAAAAAAATCACAGGAATTGAAGTCATTCAATTTTGTGGAAATTTGAATATGCTAAGTGAAAAGTTTATGGCGAGATAAGAATGTATCAAATGTCTCTCTATAAAGCATCATTTTTTTTATGAGATCAAAGAAGGGTAAAGTAATTGTAAGGTATTTCTCCCAATAAGTTGTAATTATAGAACGTTTGCAAATGTCCCATTAACCATTAATGGCCCCATTAACTTTGTCGATGAAACAAGAAAGATTAAGTTAAGTCTAAGATATGTAAAAGTGATTTGCGCTTTTACAAAAGAAAAAAAAAGTGTAAAATAGCTGATGAAAGATTCACTGCTAAAATTATCCATAAGGAAGGTTGTTCTACGAAGCGGCTAAAAAAAAAGGAAAAGGGAAAGGTAGGAATTAATAAGTTTTTTAATTACAGGTTTTCCTTGATCAGATGAGAGACATTATTACGGTCTTCAATTCTCATTTTATTTTTTCAACAAAATGTTAAAAAGAATTAAGTTTTTCTTATGCGAAATAATCATTAACAAAAGAAATTGCATTGATCCTTTCTTTCCTTCCCTTATCGATGTTATCATCAATGCGATCAATGAATTTAATCCGTAAAAAGTTTGTACATTAATTAAAATTGCAGTTGAAATTAGTAAACAGCCCGTTCTGATCCATCCATTTTATGCCATTCATACTTCGTCATTTAATTGTCAGCTGTTTCATTACTTTTTCTAAATAATTTGAATTTTAATTAATTAAATCATACGAATCGAAATACTATGTTTGGTATCAAAGAATGCAACAAAACGTTATAATGGTCAAATCAAATGAAACTATAGTGATCATTTAATCTTTCCACAATTTATTGGTTTCTTGTTTTATTTTTTAAAAAAAAATTCATTCAGTAAGAATTTTCAAATTCCATTTTTTGCTAATAAAAGTAATCGTGAAGAAGAAGAAATAAAATTCATTCCTCATTTTGCTCATTGAGTATAAAAGGATTACTAACTAGTTGCTCATTAGGAATTTAATTTAATTAAATTCGATAACTGAATTTAATTCAAAACTATCAATCTTACTGCGTAACACCTTTTAATGGAAAAAAATCGAGAATTAAAGATTTCGGTTGCTAATAATTCTAAAAATCGTTTCAGAAATTTGCATGTGCTTAAGGAATCAAATTTCAGATTTAATCCAATATTTAGGACGATCTATAGATTTACAAATATGATAAGAGAAGAAAAAAGAAAAAAAGATGATGACTGTCAACCTCCCATTATCACATTATTGGTTGATTCATTTTTGCCATCGACATACATCGTTCATTTGAATTGGGCTTTTTAATATTTGAATTTTTTAAAATGCCCCAAAAAAATCTTTACTAAACAATAGTTACCTACTGTTCAACATCTGCTCTGTT